AGGCTGAGCCAGCATATTTTATCACAGCTACAAATAACAAGATCTTTCATGCAGCCTCTCTGTAGGAGAAAAAGTGAACTAATTGCAAAAACAGTAAGGAACAAAAAAGGGGTTATCCTGGCATTTATTGTCATGGTTTATGGCTGAGGCAGCAGGACATTTAATTCTGATGCTTTTTAAAAATCCTTCTGTAAGAGTTCAGCCTTTGGAATTAGGGCTTTCAGTTTTTGCTTTTGTCCGCTAGCAGTATTCCCCCCCCCCCCGAAAAAGGCAAAAATCCTGCAGAGCCCTCCCACGTGATTCACGACAATCACAGCATTCTTCCCGATTCAGCATCCGCCTGACTAGACTTTGTACTACTTGCTGTTTGACAGTAATGGGGAACAGAAGGACAAGGCGGGTGGTGGTGGTTTATTTCTGTTTTTTTCAGCTTCTTTACCTTTTCAGTGTATCTCTGTACTGTGAAATACTGAGTAGAGTGTTTTTTGTGATTACCAGTGTGTGAGATGTTGGTTAGGGATGCAGGCTAGGCAGGTAAGTAAGGTGGCTGTTGCAAGCAGGTAACAGCCACAAACCCACAACGTTTTCTGTACGTGCACTGCTATCCGCCACTCCTCTCACCGTACTATGTAAGCAAACCACAGCAGCAACCACTTCAAATAACATAAAGTAGCTCTGTCTGCACTTCATGTGGTGGGAGGAGGGGGAAGGTGAGGTTACTGTAATGAATTGATCATTTCTGCGGGATTCAGGAACTTGAGGTGCTGCCGGAGTGAGGCTCAGCTGCAAGCCATGAACCCACCTGCTGGCTGGAGGTCAGTTCTAGACATCGGCAAAAGCAAAAGCGTGTAATGCTTACGAAACATCCGAGCCGCACAGGGAAGTGCCACGGGAGCAGCAGGCACCTCTGAGCTTTCATGGCTGCTAGGTGAGGGAGCTTCTGGATCCAGAAGCTCTCTCTGTGTCATATGAAGTACCTCAGGTATCAGATGCCTGATAACTCTCTAACTCCAGCACTTTTACACTGATGCAGTTCCCCAGGCACTCAAGTCCAGCGCAGTGCCATTTGTCAGAGACAGACAAGACCTGCCACTGGCAAGAAAATGTAATCTGAGCACTGAAAGCAAAAGCAATGACTCAGGACCCAGGACCAAAACCTGGTCAACCAATGCATAATTTCCCTTCAACATACCTCCCCATTCCCCCTAAGAAAGCAACCAACCTCTATTTTCTGATCATGGGGAGAAATCCTAACACAGGAATTGATTTTCTCAACTTGGGTAAAAGAAGCAAAATTGAAGGTGCCACATGATTTTTTTTCTGTTATGGCTGTTAATGCTGCCCTGTTTTGTTTGTTCATAACCATTTACTTCATGTCAGAAATAAACAAGGCGCAGAACCCTGTAACTGGGCACTACAGCCTGGAAAGACCCCCTAAATTGCATCACTGATGGGACAGTGGATTACAAAACAGGCAAAAAAAAAAAAAAAAAAAAAAAAACTCTCTCAGATTACATGTCCTTTAGAAAGGGCAGACTGGAGACAAATACCCTCACTACAGAAAGTTTTAAAACTGTATTCCAGCTTTGCATCACTTCTGCATTTGCTTAATTCTGCAGATATCAACTTTAACCTTTTAAATTTACTGATACCTTCAGTCTCATACTTAATAAAAATATTCTCCTTTAAGCTTTTAATCTCAACAGCCGACTATCTCATTTGATGTAAAAGGTATTTACAGAAATAAAGAGAGCGTGGGGTGCTTTTTGCTTCAACTGAAGAGCTGCTCAGCACGGCAGATAAATACAGATTATGTCATACAACAGAAGACATCTTGAATAACTACACTTTTGAAAATATGTAATTTTTCTCCTGTTGTTTGTGTTATGTCAAAACAACACACACACTCAACACACGAAAGCACTTGGGAAGTACTACAGTAAGTCAGGAAGACACCCAGCATAGTTACACTTGGGCAGAATCTGGCTACAAGAAACCAGCACTGATCCAGCAAAATCTCGCGAAGAAAGCCCCAGTTCCTCCAACCTTTTAACTGCAAATCAAGAGGATCAAACCAGAAAGTGCATTTCCAGGCAATTGTGCTTGCAGAGAAAAACTGGGGGGGGCGGGATTTCCAAAGGTGTATACACACAACCCCCTCCTATCACATAGAGGACAACTGCCTTTTTTTTTTTTTTTTTTTACATAGTTTATAAATGCAGGGTTTTTTCACCAAAGTAATGATCACAGACTGCTTAGCACTACAGAGTCTGCCTGGAATTCCTTCAAATAATTAGTTACTAAAAATCCAATCTGCCCTTTCACCACTACTCATACCCTCAACTTTATGTGTGCCAACCTGAGCAATGAGAATACAATAACTGATTAAATTTTTTCATCTTATGCCAATACCAATCTGCAGCATTTGCTTTGCAAATGCTTCAGGGAAATTCTTGCATTTCTAAATATTTCTATCTGGAGTTTTAAAGTATGGAAAAAAAAAATCAGATACAATGGAAAAATTGCCTTCCAGTTAAATAAAGTGTGAAAGTGCGAATTTAGAAAAAGGAATATATACTCATAATTGTTAGCACAGCACACATTTATGACTTTTTTTTTTGTGGTGTGTTATTCAGTGAAATGACTTTTTCTTCAGTTTACTTCAAAAACAAGCTAACTTAGGGTGTGTTTACAGAGACCTGCTGGGGCATAAGCAAATTTAAACAATTTTTGGTTGCTCTGCCAATTGCAAAGCATTCTTGGCACCATCTGCTTTCCCATTCATTTCCTTTAAACTATTTATTGTTCAATGTCATACAGCTAAAGAGTTAGAAGTTTAAGAATGACATCAAAATTAACGCAGAGATTAAGCTACTGAAGCTTCATTAATAGTTTTCTTCAACAGTTTATTTCAGAGATAGACAAAACAGCTCTGCACTTACTATCAAGGGCACTTTGAATACAGCGCAAAGACACAGGAAATAAAAAAAAAGCACCCCAAAACTCTGTCCTCCCTCGCAACTGTGTAAATCAAGAGATGATCCTGCAGAAGTCAACTGGGTTTCTACCATGGAAAACCATGATAAAGGAAAAAAGAAACAGAACCCAAGCAGGAACAGTTCAGCAGTCTGGAGTATGGTAACAACAAACCTGGAATCCCTGGACATAAACAGGCACACTGCCATCAAGAAATATGAATATTTTATATTATGTTGTAAGGTCTGAAAAATATCTTTAGAAACCAAAGTA